CCTGATGTTCTACCGTCGCAGGGCTTCACCTAAGCACCGCTACAATATTATCGAGGATTATGGTGGAGGGGGGCACCGCACACGGCTAAGAGATCAATGATCAATTGTTGTGTCTCTGGGGTGCCCCCTGCCCTTGTATATAAAGGAGTGGAGGAGGGGCCGACCAAGGAGGGTGGCGCGCCCAAGGGGGGGAGTCCAACTCCCACCGGGAGTAGAACTCCCCCTTTTCCTATTAGGAGTAGGAGAGCGAAGGAAGAGGAAGGAGGGAGGAAGGAAAGGGGGGGCCGGCCCCCCTCCCAATTCGGATTGGGCTTGGGGGGTGCCCCCTCCCTTGCTCCTTTCCCCTCCTTTCCACTAAGGCCCAATAAGGCCCATATACCTCCCGGGGGGTTCCGATAACCTCCCGGTGATTCGGTATTGTCCCAATCTCACCCGGAACCTTCCCGGTGTCGAAATATAGTCGTCCAGTATATCGATCTTTATGTCTCGACCATTTTGAGACTCCTCGTCAAGTCCGTGATCACATCCGGGACTCCGAACAACCTTCAGTACATCAAAATATATAAACTCATAATGGAACTGTCATCATAACGTTAAGTGTGCGTACCCTACGGGTTTGAGAACAATGTAGACATGACCGAGACACGTCTCCGGTCAATAACCAATAGCGGAACCTGGATGCTCATATTGGCTCCTACATATTCTACGAAGATCTTTATCGGTCAGACCGCATAACAACATGCGTTGTTCCCTTTGTCATCGGTATGTTACTTGACCAAGATTCGATTGTCCTCAATACCTAGTTCAATCTCGTTACCGGCAAGTCTCTTTACTTGTTCCGTAATACATCATCTTGCAAGTAACTTATTAGTTGCATTGCTTGCAAGGCTTAAGTGATGTGCATTACCGAGAGGGCCCAGAGATACCTCTCCGACAATCAGAGCGACAAATCCTAATCTCGAAATACGCCAACCCAACATGTACCTTTGGATACACCTATAGATCACCTTTATAATCACCCAGTTACGTTGTGATGTTTGGTAGCACACAAAGTGTTCCTCCAGTAAACGGGAGTTGCATAATCTCGTAGTCATAGGAACATGTATAAGTCATGAAGAAAGCAATAGCAACATACTAAACGATCGGGTGCTATGCTAATGGAATGGGTCATGTCAATCACATCATTCTCCTAATGATGTGATCCCGTTAATCAAATGACAACTCATGTCTATGGTTAGGAAACATAACCATCTTCGATTAACGAGCTAGTGAAGTAGAGGCATACTAGTGACACTTTGTTTGTCTATGTATTCACACAAGTATTACGTTTCTGGTTAATACAATTCTAGCATGAATAATAAACATTTATCATGATATAAGGAAATAAATAATAACTTTATCATTGCCTCTAGGGCATATTTCCTTCAGGAACAATGAGGACATAGACACAGAGGATGAATGGGATGAGCTGCAAGAGGAAATGCAGATCAAAGAGCCCCTGAGGCTGGATGGAACAATGATGAACAAATAGTATGAAGAGGAATACCCACCCCTCCAGACTATGAGGGCAGAGAAGTGGGGTCCCATACAGGCGCCTAGGGCCAGTGCAAGAAATGCTGGCGATTCCAGAACCATACTGTAAAAGGCACAGCAGCTCAAAGAGGCTCAAGATGCAGTAACTAAAAAAGTGCAAGGTAATAAGTCCACACCTTTCTCCCTCTTCAATAATCCTCATTTTACTTCAGTAGCTTCTAAAATAGGAATGGATATAGATACTAGAGATGAGAACACACCCAACTTACGTTTCCCTAGTTGTTTGAATCCTGACAGGAATGTTGATCCTGATTCAGGATTCACCACCCCCCTAAAAGATAATATAGATGATGGGGTGGAGCATAATAGTAGATTTGACTTTGTTGGAGTGTGGAACCTAGTATGTAATCACAAACGGGGCAAGCACCCTAAGACAAAGGTTCCCCAATGAATGCAACTTTTTTGGAATGTCAGGGGTATCTCTGCTCCAGGGAGAAAGACCCTTATAGTTGACATAATTAGGAAATTGCAAGCATCTGTCCTAGGCTTCCAAGAAACCAAGAAGGGATAATTTTCTGACTCCTACCTTAAATCCTTGGTAGGAAGCAGGAACTTCTCCTGGCACCACCTCCCATCTAAAGGCTCTGCTGGGGGCATCCTGATGGGTGTGGATGCTGACCTTTTTGAGATCATTTCCTGGTCTCATCTTGAATTTTCAGTTAGTTGTGTTCTTAAGCTGAAAAACAAGGATGTAACCTTTAGAATTGTCACTATTTATGGATCTCCCTATGAGGAAGGGAAGGAAGCATTTATCTCTGAGCTTCACTCCCTGTTCATAGAGAATACACACCCCACCCCGATTGGGAGGATTTCAATCTAGTTAGGTATGCTAGAGAAAAAAGCAATGGTATTGTCAACCATAGATGGTGTGACAACTTCAATGCTTGGATAGAAATCTGGAGTCTGTTGGAGATCAAGCTGTCTAGTAGAAAATTCACCTGGGCTAACAACCAGGCTGACCTGATCATGTCCACAATAGATAGGCTCTTCTGTAATACTGAGCTTGACAAGATTTTTCCACTAGCCTCCTGCATTGCTCTCCCTAGATGCGGCAGTGATCATGCACCCATTATCTGGGAATCAGGTGTTGAGCAAGTGCCTAAGAGTAGTAGTTATAGGATGGGAAAATGGTGGCTGCTTAGAGAAGACTTCTCCAAGCTAATTTCCAAAATTTGGAATGAACCCACCTTTAATGCCAACCCTTTAGACAATTGGCAGGAGAAGATGAGAAAGCTTAGATGAGTGACCAGAGATTGGAGCTCCAATGAAGAGGCCCAACTTAGGAGATATAAGAAAATCCTTTTAGAGGAATATGACAAGCTAGACATCAAATCTGAAACATTAGTGCTCTCTGACCCTGAGGCGGCTAGGCTCAAATTCACACATAATGAGCTCCAGAAGATTTGGCTCCAAGAGGAGATCAAAGCAAAACAGAGATCCAGGGATAGGGACATTAAAGAAGGAGATAGGAATACTGAGTATTTCCATGCAGTGGCAAACCAAAGGAGGAGGAAAACAGCTATCCACTCCTTGGATGGCCCACTTGGACCAGTCACTGACACTAAGGAAATGCTTGGAATTGCTACCAACTTCTATAAAAACCTGTTCAAGAAAGAGGAAAGGGGTGGGATCCACTTAGACCCAACCTTTTCTCTGATGAAGAGAAAGTTAACTCTGCTGAAAATGAAAACCTTGAGGCCCCCTTCTTAGAAGAGGAAGTCAAGAAGGTTGTCTTTGAATCATATGCAGATGGTGCCCCTGGCCCAGATGGTATCCCCTTCTTTTTTTACCAGCACTTTTGGGAGATGATCAAAAAAGACCTGATAGCCATGTTTGAAGTTTTCTATCAGGGGGAACTAGCTATTCATAGACTTAACTTTGCTATGCTGACTTTATTTCCAAAAGAAGCTGATGCTTCCAGCATGAAAAAGTTTAGGCCCATTAGTTTGCTAAATTATAGTTTCAAGATCTTCACCAAGGTCCTCACTAATAGACTAACCATGCTCTGATCTGGCAACTTGAGAGTAAGGGTATCCACTCTTCTAGCTCCTTGTACCACGTGATTAACTTTAGAGGGGTGCAACCTTTGTTTCTACCAGCGGTTTGAAAACTGGCAGTGCCCTCAAAAATTCATGTCTTCCTTTGGTTGTTCTCCCAAAACAAGCTGATGACAAGAGACAATCTTAGGAAAAGACATATAATCAAACCGCTTGATTGTGTCTTCTGTGCTGAGCAAGAAACAAACCATCACTTATTTTTTGACTGTGTGGTAGCCAAAAATATATAGTCGTTTGTCAATCTCTTTTTCCAAAAGAGTTTGGGGGCAAACTTTGAATATGTGGTCCGACTTTGGATCTCTAATAAAAAGAATTTAGCTTTGAACATAGTTAGTTCTGCTGTCCTTTGGTGTCTATGGAAATATAGGAACTCTATGATTTTCAATAACACCATTTGGTCATCTATTAATCAGGTGTGGAGACTGATACACATGATGATCAAGTTCTGTGTGATTCTAATCCCAGAAACAAGCAAAGCCCGCGTGGAAGAGTTCTTAAGTGCGCTGACAAAGCTACTCCAGCAACCCTTGAGGATATCATGTGGCTGAAGGAAAACCCTGGATTGGATGCTGAGGTATGCTAGGACAACCTCAAGATCTCTGAAGACGGCGGTTTCTCTTCTCCGGCCAAGAAGCACGACACCAACAGCAAGACCATGGTGAACAGCCCCGTGTCTACCCTCGCAATCTGCTAGTCGCCCCAGGCGGCCCTGGCGCCACCACTCAAGAGAAGGGGAGCGAGCGGGTTGTGTGGTGTGATCACTGGTTGACAGGTGATGTTTTTGCCTTTAGTGCGCGTTCGTTTTGTCCTTTGGCTCCCGTTCGAGCAGGGCTGTAATTTATCTGTTTTAGTTCTGAACTGATGAACTTTTTCAGTAGCTTTCTACCGAACAAAACGCTGTATGGTTTCATTCTGGTTAATGGAACCGGGGAGAGGCCTTCCTGTTCTTCTAAAATTATAGGCTTTCTCAAAAAAAAAAGCCAAAAATCTCTTGTCTAAAAGGAAAAACTCGTGGCAAAATCCCCCTTCACTTCCTCAGTTCCTCAAAATCTCCCCGATCTGACGACCCTGCCGCCCGTTTGCGCCTCTCGCCGAGCTCGCCCCTCGCTTCTGCCTCCTCCATTCCTCCCTCAAAGGGGGCTCCGTGGTCGAGCTCGTCGCCTTCCACACCGCGGTCGGCGGCGGCAGCGAACCCTCGCGCGTGGTCCGCGCCTCGTCGCCGGATTCCTAGACGCCGCCCCGTCGCGTCGTGTACGACTGTCTTTGTCGTGGGCGGAGGGAACACGAGCCATCCACCTGTACCTCCGCGGCAGGTCTTCTCGAACCCTCCCCTTTTCCCCACCGCACAACATGCCGACGCCGTCTCATCGCCATTGCCCTAACCATCCAAAGGGGGATCACGGTGACTGTGCTGGAGCATGCGGTGGGGACGGCATCCCCGTCATCGACCTCGGCGTCCTCCTCAACGGCAACGCCGAGGAACGATCTCAGGCGACACACGAGCTCGGCCAGGCCTGCGAACACTGGGGCTTCTTCATGGTACGGCACTGCCACCGACGAACATCAGAATATTCGATTCTTGTCCCAATGTTGCATGCTCCCTTCGTCTGGGATTATTATTCCCGCTCATATTTTGTTCAAATTTTTTACCATATACATACTGTATTTGATTAGCAAAATATAAGGTATATGAATTCATATTTGGAAGAAAATTACAACGGTATTTGCTACATAAAACATATACTTCCTCAGTTTCTTAATATAAGGCTTTTTAGAGATTTCACTATAGAGACTACATTCGGATGTATATAGACGCCTTTTAAAGCATAGATTCACTCATTTTGCTCCGTACGTAGTTTATAGTGAAGTCTCTTAAAAGACTTATATTTAGGAACGGAGGGGTTATTTTGTTAGTTAAATTTATGGTCAAAATTTGACCCAAAATACAAAGGGGATTAATAAACCTGGATAGAGGTAGTACAAGGAAACAATTCGCTAGAGGCGCCACTAATTGCTTTTATTTTTCTGATCTGGCATGAAGGTGATTAATCATGGGGTGCCTGAGGCGCTCCAAGAAGAAGTGATGGAGGCGTGTAAGGAACTGTACAGCTTACCGAGGGATGAGAAGGCAGAATACATTGCTGCTGGCCCAAAGGATCCTGTACGTATTGGAACAGGTCTCTTCTACTCTGACGTCGACGATGCCATATGTCGGAGGGGCTATGTGAAGATGGTTGCTCACCCAGAGTTTCACTGCCCTGCAAAGCCTGCAAGGCTGAGGTAGCACAAACTGCTAATTAACACCATATTTACTTTCACGTTATTGTTTGGATGTTGCAAAAGCTATATTGACTGCACTGTCATTGTTAGAGATATTGCTGTGGAGTACTCTGCTCGAACGAGGCAGCTGTGGCTGGAGCTTGCGAAGGTGGTCTCCGAGAGCCTGGGACTTGATCGTGGCCGCATTTCTGAAGTCCTAAACCTTGAGTCCTGCTTCCAGATCCTTGTCGGGAACAATTACCCGCCATATGCTGGCTCGGATGGGGTTATGGGAATTTCAGCCCACTCTGACCACGGCCTTCTCACTCTGCTCTTCCAAAATGGCGTGGATGGTCTCCAAGTCAAGCACAACGGCCAGTGGATCACCGCAAAGCCCCTTCCAGGCTCACTGTTCATTCTCACCGGCGATCAGTTGGAGGTATACGAATGATTTACAGTGTTCTTAACTTGACAATAAATGGTTATTAAAACAGAAGCTCTTAGTACCTGTACTTTATCTTAATGATACACACGCATGTCCTATGTACTGTGGGTGCAGATTGTGAGCAATGGAAGGTACAAGGCCGTGCTCCATCGCGCACTGGTCCACGGTCGGCAGACGAGGATGTCGTTCGTGAGCCTGGTCGGGCCGTGCCTAGATGCTGTCGTAGAGCCAGTCCTGGAGTTAGCACAGAATGACCCCCAGGGCATGAAGTTCCGGGGAATCAGGTACAGGGACTACATGGAGCACCAGCAGAGCAGCAAGATGAACACAAAAGCAGCACTGGACATCGTTCGTGTGCAGGGTGACATATTGACATGTGAGAGCACAACTAACAATTCAACAGAGGCTGATTCTTCAGGTTACAGTCCTACAAGTTGATATGCTGAACCTTTATGTCTTATATAATCAGTGCATTCCATGTCGTAGTACTCCCTCCTCTTCGGTTCCTAGTAGTTGATAGACTGATTAGACATTCTACTATTCTCCGTTGGGACAAGCGCTAGCAGTAATGATCCAAGTTAATATGGATTAGGAAGAATGATCGCTTGGTCAGATTTGGTGAAGCCTTGGGCTCAGTGGTTCTGAGAGATGAATGTGATAGAGTGGGTTGGTCAGTGGACAATAATCTACTATATCTATGTACAGTCAGCAGAGCTTTAGGGATATTATTCACTGGCATAGCTTAACCTTTGTTGGTGCTAGTTTGTGGAAAGCAAAATTTCCTTTTGAAAATCAAGGTATGCATGTGATTAATGGTTCAAGGTTGAATGCAAATATGCAGAGCAGATTTCTGAACGTGAAGGACCATGCAGCAGGAATTGTTTCTTATGTCGTGTTTTTGAAAACGAAGACAGCATCATGTTTCATCGCTCATGGCTGCCTTTGTGTGGGTCAGCTTGAAAGAGACGATTGCTGGGATCAAAGACTAGTTTGTACATCTAAATTCATGTGTGTGTGTTTTAACATAAAGATTTTATTAACTTAGGAGCATTTTACAGAGACAAGCGTGAAAGGAAGCATCTAAATTCATGTGGGATTGGTGAGATGGAACAAGTGCTAAGGATAGAATTGTTCTCTCGGGTTTTGCAGTGATGTGCGATTCGAAACAAGTGCTAAGGATAGAATTGTTCACTCGGGTTTTGCAGTGATGTGCTGGACCCTAGGTAGGATTCGAAACAAGTTGGTATTGAGGACCATGATATTTTTGTCAAAATTGGTCTCCCTTTTGCAGCTGTGAAGTGCATGACAAATTGACAATTGACAGGTAAGTGTGCTGCTCATAATTGACTATGAGTCTAAGCAAGGGTTGGGCACTCATTTTCTCCCCTGATCTACCCTGGTTATACTCCCTCCGTTCCTAAATATTTGTCTTTTTAGAGGTTTCAACAAGTGACTACATTCAGAGCAAAATGAGTGAATCTACACTCTAAAATATGTCTATATACATTCGTATGTGGTAACCATTTGAAATCTCTAGAAAGACAAATATTTAGGAACGGAGGGAGTATTTATTTAGATTTTGCCAAAACAGCACCTGAAATTGTTATCGGAAAACAGAAGACCGGACCTAAATGACCGAAATGATTTCGTTTGGTCTGTACATATGGATAAATAAAACAAGTCAAAACCCCTCAACATACTTAGCACCTCAGCATCTGTAAAGCAGTAGTTTGTACTACCTCCATTCCTAAATATAAGATGTTTGGGCAGTTTAAACTGCCCAAACATCTTGTATTTAGGAATGCAAGTAGTAGCAAGCAATAGGAAAGTATTATGGTAAAAATGGCAAAATGTTTTCCTTTAAGGAAGCAACTCTTTGCATTTGGGAACTTTGTTGTACGTGTTGGTTGTGATTAATGAAACCTGATCAAAAGAAGAGGAAGAAAGTGGACAGTCTATGTCGTCTGTTTAGCAACTTCATTATTCCAATCATATCATCCAGGCCGTGAATCAACTAAAGGAGGATTTAAGCTTCTGGTTGGAGAAGATTTAGCTGTGTTCTGTTGATCGTTGTTGTCTCTCTTTGTCTTCGGCTTAACAGTAGTCCAGGTTCGTCGAGAATGCTGCTTTATGTGTCTCTGTGCTATTCTTCGAGTATGTGCTTCGGCCGTCTCAGGACTCGGGTCGGCTCGTTGCTTACAGTAGTGTGGCAAAAGTGAGAACGGAGGACGTAGGCAAATTACAAAGTTATCTTCCCAAAAGAAGAAGCCCTCCCATGTCTACGATGCTTCCTGTCACCTACTATATATAGCTCCACCAAGAAATAATCAGGTGAATAGTATCGGTGCTGCATCAAAACACACCGGAATCCGAAACCCAGGCCAGTAAAATTCTCTTTAATCATCATCGCAAATCATCAAGTGTGATCACAACCGACGAGCGACGGCGTTAGCGCGTAGGACTCGAACACACATCAACCGAACGGAAATTTCCCGCCAGTCATTTAAGATGACCACGTCAAAATGCCGTCCAACAGCTACACAAATTGGAAATAAATACGCCACCTTCCTCGAGATCACCTCAGTTTATAGTAGTTATGATCAGCCACACACATTGACCTGACTCTGCCAAAATTCTTAATGACCCATAAAGAAAACGTACTTAGGCACACATCATCACATGAGACCCCTGCAAGCAATCCGGCACCGGAGAAGCAAGCCAAGCCTCCTTCCTTCCGTCGTACGACGTGCTGGCTACTTCGCAGAAACCAACCGAAAACCGCCGGACGCAGCAACGTCCTAACAGATAGCTAAGCCAGCCACGACGCCTGCAATTGCCTTGCCTGTACTTTGGTTGGCATCCATGGAGAGGCTGCTTCCTTCCCAGAACCTCATGGACTCCTTCCTCCCCCGTCACCACTCGCCGCCCCCTTATTTAAGCGCCCACCCACCATTCTCCTCTCATTCTCCATTTACCACTGTTGCATTGCAAACCGGGCCGGCTGTCCCTGATCCTCCGTTCTTCGCGGTCGACGTGGATCGGGCGCGGCATGGGCGCCGACAAGGGGAGGACCTCGGTGCAGTTCGACGACTTCCTGCCGTCGATGGCGAGGAAGCTCGGCGCGGAGGGGCTGATCCAGGAGCTCTGCAAGGGGTTCCAGCTGCTCATGGACCCCAGGGCCGGCAGGATCACCTTCCAGAGCCTCAAGAGGAACGCGGCCAGGCTGGGGCTCGGCGAGCTCCGGGACGACGAGCTCCAGGAGATGATGAGGGAGGGGGACATGGACGGGGACGGCGCCCTGGATCAGACAGAGTTCTGCGTTCTCATGGTCAGGCTCAGCCCTGAGCTCATGGAGCAAGAGTCGCATAGGATGTTTGAATGTTGATGTAACTTGACTTTTGTTACTTGCATACAATAGAACATACTGATTGCCACTGATACAGAGATCCAATCCAGTGCTTGTGCACTCCCTTCCTACTGAAACATGATACTAGTATGGCTGATCATGCTATTGAAATAACAACACACAATTTTTGGACAACACGCTTATAAAACACAGATCACAGCACGCAAACGGTTGATTATATAACATGAAGTATCACGGGCCTATGTCCCGCTATCGACGAAAACCAGACCTCTTATTAGGCAACGCATACGAGCATATGGTGCAAAAATGTGCAGTACAACAACTCTGTTGGTTCACTTGGCAGGATCAACATACTGAAAGACGTCATCTCGTTTACTCCCTCGAAATGTTGTATGCCCCATTGGACTTAGCTATGTGGCATTTTCCTATCCCTTTATGAAAGGTCTACTGGAGTTCCACAGAGCTCACCGATCTCCTTCTCTAGAAGTCGCATGAGATTTACTCCAGTCCGCCTATAAATCCAACTGTCTGTTGCTGCATCCCAGTCAAATCTAGCAGGCCCACTGCAGACATGATATAGACACCCCTTTCAGATAAGAATCAACATGTAACAGATCAAGATTGACGAGCTTATGGGTAATGGACAGTTAAATTTAAACAAACACTTGGACATCTGAGCAGGATCTTTTAAGAATGGGATCTTTTGAAGAAATAAAGCGTTGGGGAAAATATAAACCCATTCTAGAAAGCATAAAGCCCATATGGGATAAGTATCAAAATAATACTGTAGAATGCAAATATACTCTTCTTAAACTGAAAAGGTACTGATGCCAGTAAACTGTCCTAGGCAAGTATCAGCGTAACATAATAGCAAGCCCAACTTCAAAGTTATACAGCATGGCAAATAAGATAATAATATGCTTAAGTTCAGGTAGTATACACATCAAATGAGCAGCAAATAAGACAAGACAACCATACCTCACAGGTGAAGATAGCCAGATTTGTCTGTTTGGCGTTTGCTTGTTTACAACATAGGTCCCCAAATCGCCTAGCCTCAATGTTAGAACTTGATTCTTAAAATTCAGCGAAATGGAGAAAACAATATCAGTGATCCAATGCACAAAAACAGTTCAAAATAGTGAAACTAACATGAGTGCATGATATTTCATTATAACTAACCCCGTAATCTATGTCGAAGCCATCCATCTGCTGAGAATCACCATATTCCTGAAACAGGCACACAGAAAAGTGTTAGCCAAATAGAGGATGAACTGATGTATTCATTGGTGAAGTTTCCTGTGAAGTACTAAGATATCAAGAACTTGTCAAGGGAATCCATTACCTCAAGTTTTTCAAGCAAATCATGTATTGTATCATCTGCTAATTTATGGAACTTATCCTCTGGCATTATCAACCTGTTTCATGTACACAAATGTGATAGCCAGTTATACAATGTGGCACTACAAATCATATACTATATGATAATATGAATCACAAAGAGAAGTGGATTTTCTGCTCTAAACTCTAGTCATTTTTTAGCACAGTTTCATACTACACTATTTTCATGCACATTTATTTACTTCAGCCACTACAATCGCTTCTAAAATATAAATACTGACTATAGCTAAGCCCATGCAACTGTAATGACGAAATACGTAGTGTTTGAGCCCTCGAGAATCTGTTTTGGGGTTCGCTGCAATGATAGGCAATGTCACAAAATCACAAGAATTATTGTACAAAATCTTCCCTGGATATAAGATATATGGTTTTCCTCATTTTTCCACGGCCCAAGTCTATCTATCTATTATATTATTAAAGCAACAGAAATGTTATGTTGGAGATTTTGTGAAATTAACATGGGGTCAAGATTTAATCTAACAATAAGTCACAAATAATGGTTAAGATTTAATCTGATCAATACGTGAAACGGAATAGAATCATGTACTAGATTTGGTCTCTTTGCTAGCCATACATGAATCGTGTTTCTCGGCATAGATTCTGTAACACATATAACCAACTCAGATATGGAAATCAGTGCCCATGTCCAACACAAATTTTAGGACCAAGGTTATTTCGTAATCGTATACACATGTAGTTTGCCCATATATTGAGCACCTAATTGACTCAGAGCCTCCTCCAGTTCCCTGTCAGTTCGTCATCAAGACGCTCACATACAAGGACATGGCCCATGACATTGCCAGCATGGTCAAGCTCGATGCTATGTTCTCTCTGCCGAGCATGAACAAGGATGCCTTCCTCAATCCCATGCTCAATGACACGGCCATGTGAGGCACCCCAGCACAGCTCCGCCTCCACTCGGATCACTGGCTCCGTCAATATATGGACATACAGACCGACGTTCAACATGACGGTGATAGCTCATACCTCGTGTATCGTTGTAACAGATAACTTCTCTGTCACATCCATAACGAGCATCCGGCTTCACCTTGCCGAAAAAATTCCCCAAATGCTAGAGGGGAGCATGGTCAAGCTACGGATTTATAAGGTGTGTGCTGATTAATTAACTTATCAACCCAGTGGAGTTGGCAACTTGGCGGGATTGTAAATAGATTTGGAATGGAACATGTCCTGTTCGGATTTCACGCTTCAATTGATGAGCTTCTGCTAAGTGTACACATTACTGTCACGTTTACATGACTTAGTCTCCCCACCATTAGTCCCACGATGCACGATATGTGTGCACGTTCTCTGTAAACTGCCTGTATTCAGTGCCTATATGTACTCCTGACTCTGAATCAATGAGATAAGTTCAGACTCTGTTCAGTTTTACAGTTCAATATGGTATCAGGCTAGACTAGTCCTCGTCCACGATGAACCAAACCGGCGCGGCAATCTCGCCTGCCGCCGGCAACACCCACCTCGGACCTCTGGGTCATCTTCCTCCCCCGACCTACCAACCTACCTTACCTACTCACCCCCCATCTGCTACTCTGCTTGCCCCAACCTCAATCATCGACACCATCACAGATGTATCCCCGTTCATCCCCATCGTCCTCGACCTGGCGGCGCACAACTACTACCACTGGCGTCATTTGTTCCTTGTCCACCTCGGGCGCTGCGGCCTCCGCAGCCACATCGACGGCGACAACCTGGCGGCCTCCTCCGATCCCGTTTGGATCAAGGACGACTTCGCCATTCTGCAGTGGATTTACACGCGGATCTCAACGGAGCTGTTCGGCCTCCTCCCCAAGGACGGCGCCACCGCCTTCGTCATCTGGCGCGAGCTCCAGCGCCTGTTCCAGGACAACCGCGATGCCCGCATCAACCACCTGGAGACAGCGATGCGCACCCTCAAGCAGAGGGACGAGCCCGTCGGCACCTACTGCCAGCGCCTCAAGGCCATGGCGGATGAACTGCATGAGCTCGGCGCTCCGGTGGATGACCGCCGGCTCATCTCCGCCACCCTCGCCGGCATCAGCGAGCGATTCGACAAGGTCACCTCCGTCATCCCTCTGCTTCGCCCCGCGCCGCCGTACTCTGAGGTGCTCTCCATGCTTCAACTCGAGGAGACCAAACTGCGCACCAGGATGGAGCAACCGCAGGCCTTCTACTCCAACAACGGGCCTCGCAACAGCGGCAACGCCGCCCAAGCTCCGTCCCCGCAACAGCCGGCCGTGCGCCCCACCGGCATCAGCCCGAACTACAAGGGCAAGAACCCGATTCCCGGTTTTCAGCACCGGAACACATCCAACAACGGGTCGACCTCCACGACGCCATCGGCTCACGCCTCACCAGCACCGCCTCGTCAACCGGCAGCGACACCGACGGCACCCATGACTCCGCCATGGCGTGCCCACACTGATCCCTGGACCGGCTTGGTTCAGGCCTGGCCTGTCCCATGGACCCAGGCAACTGCCGTCGCCGCGCCTGGCCCCGTGCCCTGGCAGCTGCCGTCGCCACGACTCGTCGGCGGCCCCGGCCTGCTTGGCCGGCCTCCTGCTCAGGCATACTACTCCTTCGCGCAGAACCATCAACCGGCGCCTGCGACATACCCGGCCTCGCCATTTGCGCCTCCTGCCTATGCGGCTGCGCCGATGCAAGCGCCGATGTACGCACCTCCCACGACTCCTGCGTCTCCTGCCTGGGACCAAGCGGCCTTGGTTCACGCCTTGAACGCCTATACCAACCACAATGATGGAGGCTGGATCGTCGACTCTGGAGCAACTGCGCACATGTCTGGTACGCCTGGTATGCTGTCTTCTGCCCACCCATCTCCTTCTACACCACCCATCATTGTTGGCAATGGATCACATCTCTCTGTCTCTCACATCGGTCGTTCTGTTATTCCTAATGTTCATCGTCCCTTATATCTTAACAATGTTCTTGTTGCTCCTTCCCTAGTCAAAAATCTTATTTCTGTTCGCCGCTTTACAACTGACAATCAAGTTTCCATGGAATTTGATCCCCTTGGTCTTTCTGTGAAGGATCTCAAAACCCAGGCCCTGATCGCACGACATGATAGCACTGGCGATCTCTATCCATTCCATGAAGCCATGACAACCAACT